AAATATATTAATTAAGTAGTCGGATTGATGGCTTTATTTATCCGATAACTAATTATACATAGAGGGATCAAAATGTACCACTGACTTAGAGGTGATTTATTAATTAATTGGAGTTCAATTAATTTCTTTTAGTGGAGTAAAAATTAATTTATGAATTAATTGAATTGGGTTCATGGATTGGGCCAATTATTAATTCATTGTAGCTAAGAAAATAATAAGCCTAAAGGATTCTCAGTCATAGCCTAACTTGATATTGAAATCCTATTAGAGTTGAAATATTGTAATTATAGATTGAGAAGGATTTATTGTTTCTTTTCCTTATCTTTATGTTGCCTATATATACATGATCCATGTATATTTTAGGGGACTTTTGGAAGAAAAAGGGATATATATTTTCTCTTTCTAAATTTAGGGTTAGTGTTCGCATCTAATGGAGGCTTCCACAAGCCTGATTTTCTAAGGTCCTTCATGGAGGCTTATGGGTGATTCGTAAAGGCAAAACCATTACCAAGAAGATGGAGATCTAAGGAGAAGATATCTAGCAAATGAATCTACAATAAGTGAGAATATTCACTTTAGAGGAGAGATCTTAGGTTTATTCAAACCTTGATGTAAGTTTTCAATCTATTAATTGAATGATACATCATATTTTATTTTTGCATAAAACTTGTCTCTATGTGATGAATCAAGATCTATGTATGAAAATCCTTCAAAAAGTTTTTAAAAACTTGCACGTTTCCCAACAAAGATGTCAGCGGTTTGATCAGCGGAAGTTACAAAATGAAGGAGTACGGTTCCCTGAGTAACTTGTTGACGCACAATATGACAATCAATTTCAATATATTTGGTGCGTTCGTGAAAGACATCATTATGAGCAATATAAATAGCACTCTGATTATCACAATAGAGAATAATGCCACTGGAATGAGAAACACCTATATCTGTTAGGAGCCATCGAAGCCAAATAAGTTCTTGTATAGAATCAATAAGGGCACGGTATTTAGCTTCTATAACCTGGAAATGACGGATTACTTTTTACTTCGCCAAGAAATGAGAAAGTTACCAAGAAAAAAGCAAAAGCTAGTAGTAGAATGCCGGTTAGTTGGATCACCTGCCCAATCAGCATCAGAGTAAGCACGTGGCTCAAGTGAAGAATGAGTAGAAAAGTGAAGGCTATGAAACATAGTCCCTTTAATGTATTTAATGTATCGAAGAATGCATAATACAACAGTATAATGAGTAGATCGAGGCGTAAAAATGAACTAACTGACAAGATGCACAGCATAGGCGATGTCAGGTTGAGTAATAGTGAGATATACCAGACTGCCAACCAATTATCGATACAATATGGCATCACTAAGGAGTGTACCATCTAGAGGAGTGAGCTTAACATTGGTCTCAAGAGAAGTAGGAGTTGTCTTGTAATTAGTGATACCAGCACGAGCAAGAATATCAGAAGAATACTTGGCTTGGGAGAGATAATAGCCATCCAAATCAAAGAGAATCTCCAAGCCTAGGAACTAGTGGAGGCGCCCAAGATCCTTCATATCAAAGTGATGACTGAGAAATTTTTTAAGTGCAGAGATACCTACAAGATCATTGCCAGTGATTATCATGTTATCAACATAAAGTAAGAGAAAAATAATACCAGAGTCAGTTGTGCGGATAAAAAGGCCAGAATCATATAAGCTTGGGGTAAATCCAAAATCTCCAATTGTAGAACTAAATTTAGCAAACCAAGCTCTTAGAGCTTATTTAAAACTATACAGTGCTCGACAGAGTTTACAAACTTGATGTGGAGAATGGTCATATCTTGGAGGAGGTTTCATATATACTTCTGCAATGAGATCACCATTGAGAAAGGCTTTTTTCACATCCATTTGAAATAATTCCCACTTACGAGCTGCTACAACAACCAATAGGCTACAGATAGAAGTAAGTCGAGCAACAGGGGCAAATGTTTCCTCATAGTCAATGCCATATTCTTGGGTGAAGCCCTTTGCAACTAGACGAGCTTTATATCGTTTTATTGAACCATTAGAATGAGTTTTGATTTTGTAAACCCATTCATAGCCAACAACAATTTTGTCAAAGGGAAGAACAACCATATCCCAGGTATGAGCTTATGTGAGAGCCTGTAGTTCTTCTGCTATAGCTTACTGCCAAAGGGGGATAGAGCTAGCCTCACGATATGATTGAGGCTCATGATGAGACATAATAGTAGAGAAACACTGAAAATCACGTAAATGACTAGGAGGTTTTCTTACCCGATCAGATTTGCTAGGAGGTTTAGCAGTAGTGATGGTATCTGATGAAGAAGATTCAGTAGCAGGACCATCAGATGTAGCAGATTCGTCAGGTAAGGCCATTTGTGGGAGCTCAAATGAAAACGTTATTTCTAGAGTAGATGAGATAGTGTTTAGAAGCTCAGATGAAGATATTGTATCTATGTCGTCTGGGAAGAGTTCAACTAAAGAATCAGTAAAGAATAAAGGAGTAAAAGATGGAGATAGATGAAATTTGGAGAGAGAAAAGAACATTTTATGTTCCCAAAAGATGACATGACGAGAGACACGAAGACTTCTAGAAATGGGATCTCAACATCGGTGTCCTTTATGTTTAATTCCATAACCTAGAAAACAACATAGACGAGCCCAAGGTTCTAATTTGGTACGTTCATGAGGTTGAAATAAGACAAAACAAGCACATCCAAAAACTTTGAGAAGATTTTAAGCAGGAAATATCCCATATAAGCGTTCATAGGGAAATTTGTGACGATGTCGGCACTTGTAGAGATCGACGGCAGCTATTGGCGACAGTGGCAGAGTTTGTGATGGCAAAGAGCTGCGACGGTAGAGAGCAATGGTGACGGCGGCAAAAAGCAGCGATAGGAGTAGTGGTGACGGGCAGTAGAGAGTTTGTGAAATTTGAGATTGAATTTCAAAGGTACAGTAAGTGGAATGATTCAGTACAGGCCATTAATTCATGGCTTTGATACAATGTTGAATATCAAAGATAGAGAAATAGAGATATGAAATGTAGAGATTTGTATATTGAAGTATGTTTGGAGCATGTACAAAGGAGCCTTTTTATAAGCTATTATGCAATGGCTATACAATTGTGATTAAGATACAATTGTGATTAAGATATAATCAATAGACAACGGTTATAATAAGATACACATAATCTTTATATTGACATTTTTCTTTCTTTTTTCTTTTTTGAATAATCCGGGGTATCCGAGGTTTCGCTCTGACTAATTCTCGAGTCCCAAAAAAGGACGCAAGTCATATACTCAGCGAAGGCGTGTCCCCAAATTGTCGTAAGCTCCGAATGAGAGGTCCAAGTAATTTTACCACTAAGTCAACTCCTTCAGGTTAGAGATTTTATCCTTCATATCAAAAGAATCACAAATTTCACGTCAATACAAAGAAAACCCAAAGAGAAAATGTTTACCTCCTACCCTTTTTTTTCTTTAAAATCGAAAGAAAACAAAGTAACAAACAAACAGAAACATCCAATTCAGAGAAGAGGAGAAAATTAAATATCAACGGACAACAGTTAATTAATATGATTACACCATATATTCCAAAAGAGAGAATACCAATTAGAGAGAATAATTAACCATTAATACAATCAATATATAAAGTTAAAAACACTACACCTTTTATACAATTTTTTTTTCCCTTGAAAACACTACACCTATATATTACACTATCACTTGCAAGTTATTATAATATGGTTAAGAAGGCCTATTGTAGTCAAACTAGTTTAATTCTAGTCGAATTAGAGCCCAATTAAACTTTAATTTAGCTCGATTTAATCATAAAATTAAGTCAATTGTGTGCCCAATTAGATCAGATTCCCTTGCAACTCGTAGGCCCAGCCCTCAGTGGGCCCATTGTCCTGCCATCAATTGCAAAGCCACAGTTTGGGCTAAGGCTTTTAGATTTGACTTCCCTAAACAAAGGAAACACCAGGAATCTGAATTTTCTCTTCTGCCTATTTAATATCGCAGTTTGTGTTGTTACATCGGTTATGCAACTGTACTCAAATTGGTTATAGGTGCAACAGTACTTTGCACAGTGATCGATTTCTAGGTGTTGTCTAAACTTAATTAGTTACTTCCAATTACTTAAATTAATAGTTCAAACCCCACTCAAAACTCAAAAGTAGGCATTTCTCTTTTTATAGGAACATATGTACCAGAAACAATGGTATCTCCAATTCAAGTACATTATACATTGATTATGCAACAGTTTTTTAACCAAAGGTTAAGATCAATGTGGCATTAGAAGTAGTAGCAAAATTGAAGGTCATCACTAAATTTATAATAATTTAGCCCCACCTTAACCAGCTTAAATTTAAAAATAAATTTCTCTATTGAGCTCTTTTTTTTTTCCTTCTGACTTCATAATATTTTAACAAAAAAAACTCACATGCAAATTCAGAATGAGGACACATATAGCAAAGGTAATATATCCTTTTTGTGAATTTCACTACAAGAATCTAATTCAGGTGTGATACCCCAAACCCTTTTGTGAAGTTCAACCCAATTATTTTTTTTTTTTTTTTTTTTTTTTTTTTTTTTTTTTTTTTTTTGTGAACGTCAACCCTTTTGATTCTTAAACATGAGTAGTGTGCGCCGAATCTAATATATGCGCAGATGGTTCATGAATGCCGGAGCCGCAATATGCATTTGCATAATAAGCGCCGTTGAGCTCAAGGTTAGTGCTGCCTGTACTCTACAAAGTTCAGAATAACATTTACAGCTTGCTTTTGGGGGCCACAAGTTGAAATTGGTGTAACAAAATACCTAGGACACCGTTAATTTAAGACTTCAAGGGCCCAGAAAAAAGTTCAATTCATTATGCTTTTACACTTTTTGTTTTGTCATCACTACTAGCACTATAAATTAATGAGACCCTTCATTTTGCTTAGATATACAACAACTGAATTGCTTGAAATACCCTGCCTAAACTGATCATATCACATATATAATGGCAAGTCAGCAACCACCAGCTCGTCCATGGATCCGGTTTTCTTCTACAAATCGCCCTTCAGCCCCAGCCCCAGCCCCAGCACCCGCACCAGCACCAACCATTTTGGCGCCTCAGGCTCAACCACCTGCTCGCCAGCCAAGGCCACCATTTGTCCGACCCACATTTAGGCCCCCAGTAGCCCAACCTCCAGCACCACCTGTTGCTGCACCACCTCCTGCCACCACTTATGTGTCGTCGTCATCTCCATCCATCAAAGTTTCCCCTTCATCTTCTCTGCCAACTTCTCCAGCACCAAAACCATCACCAAAATCCACAGTTCCTCAAGTTGAATCCTCTTCTTCACTGTTACCATCTCCTAAAAAACAACTACTTTCAGCTTCTTCATCTTCATTGCCCACTTCTCCAGCCCCCAAAGTAGTGTCACCACCAGCACCACCTTCTTATATCTCTGCCACCACCGCCTCCACCACCACTATCAATGCTCGTGCCGCCACCCCAGCATCCTCCCCAAAATCTCTGTCCCCCAAGATGGAGCCCATTTCTACTCCACCGTCTCCTCTATTTCTTCCTCCTGCCCAAATAAAGTTTGTTGGCAAGCCCGAAACCAAGATTCCAGCAGAAGCGGAGAAAAAAACTATACTGGTACAAGAAACCTTCTACACCTCCAATGGTAACTTTCAAAAGCATGCCAGCACGTATTCGGATTCCGAAGATTTTGGGGTGAGAGTTATAACAATTGCAGGTGAAAATAGAGGTGCTATTATGGAATTGAGCCCTTCCCTCCGCAACAATCGCAATCCCACAGCTCTGGACAACAACGGTGGGAAATTGGAAAGAGAGAGTAATGAAGAAGGGAGGTCAAAGATGAAGGACGAAACTCACAAAATGGTAAGGCCATTGAAGACTACATTCATTAACAGCAACGTGCAGGGTGCGAGCAGCTCGATTCTCTTGGATTGTTCTTTCACTCAACACGGTCCTGGTGTCCACCTCTCTCTCTCTGGTAAGGCCAACGGTGGCCGTGGAGCTCAGCTCAAGGACTAAAATAATTGGAGAAAGAGAGGGTATATACATATAAATAAAATTTTAGTTTTACAATTTTATGTAATCAGAATAAATATGAGTGATTGATGATAAAAGGGGCGTGGATTCTGATTCCCCATTGTTATATTCCTTTTACACGATGGGTAAGAGTGAATAAGCAAGTAATGGAGGAAGTAATAAATGAGGGACCTTTGTATGTATAGTATATGAGTAATGGTTAGATCACAACAAATGGTAGTGACAATATATTGAATCTTTGTACCGATGTGATTTGATAGTAATGATACAGTAACACGATATATGAACCAAGATCATTTCTTGTGTCATTTCACACCAATAATGTGTTGTAATTAAATTATTTATATAGCCGTCTCACATCGCTTTTTATGTATTTGTTACACTAAGACATAATGTGTTGTACTAATAATTTACAACGGTGGTGAGAAATTGGAAAGAGAGTAATGAAGAAGGCAGGTCAAAGATGAAGGACGAAACTCACAAAATGGTGCTTGTAATACCTCTAATTTTAAAAAAACAGTTCTGACATTTAATTTAATTATTTAAGTGCGTTTGTTACTAAATTATTTGTTTATTTTTCATTGAATTGTGTGTTTTCTTTATTTGTTTTTTTTATTTGTTTTTATTTAACTGGTATTTTGTTTAATTTGTGACTGGTTTAATTATGTGCTTATGTGGCTATTTAAATAAATTGTTTTTTTAAATTAACTGTTGTTCGTGTTTTGGTTGCTATGTATATTAGATGTACGGTTTTATTTTAGTTTTTAATTAATCATATGAGGGATTTGGCCGACTTAGGGTTGGTTTTGTATTAGAATTAAGGTTGTGCTGAAACTTATAAATACAGTATTATACATTGGTTTAGGGTTACAAACAAAACCCTATTCACTACGGTGAAACGGAGAGAACTTTGAGAGATTTCCAAAGAACTTTGAGAGATTTCCATAGAGGTTCAAGGATAAATGAACGAAGTGCTTCTGGGTTGAACCAAGAGCATCAGAGGTGTAGAACAGGAGTCTTGGACGTGGATGGAAGCTTCAAAGATGGTGGTTTAGAGTTTCAAAACTGAAACTCGAGGCAAGTCTCTATTCTATTCCTTCCCTTTAATTCGTGTTCAGTGCATGCCTAGTTAGACTCCAGGGATTAATCAAGCATTAAAATAGATTAAATTGAAGTTAATAATAATCTTGTAAGCATGTTTGAATCAACTTTTAAATCGTTGCATAAATCTTTTTTTGTGTTGAAAGTTGTTCTCGCTTAAGAATCTGTTTACATTGGTTTTTAATCTTGCTTAACCTTAGTGTATTTGGGATTGAATGCATACTTATAATTAATTTTAGGACATCAATTGAACCTTGAAATAAATTATAAAAACTATACAGTGACTCTGAACTTCGCCGGAGGCGAAGAAGACGAACAGGTTAGGGGATACGGTTCTCAAAGGAGGAGAGCTGGCTCACCAAAAGAGGGAGGCGGCTCTAGGGCTTGTAGAGCCAGCTCTACAAGGGGCAGAGCCGGCTCCACATGAGGTGGAGGCGGCTCCACCAAGGGGAGAGCCGGCTCCTTTAGTTTGGGAGGCGGCTCAACCCTCTTTTCTTGGGTTTTTCATGTTCTGGGTTTGGTTTGGACAGTTGGGGTTGTTTCTAAATGTTTCCGGTTGCTATGAATGAAGAATATTACCTATTACAGACTTGTAAAAACTCTTGGGAAGCATGTGGATGTTAATATGTTGAAGCAGGAAGTAATATAAGGTTAAAAAATAAACCTGTACGTGGGAAGTCGGATTATACATTGAAACTGCTTACTATTTTTCTAAAGCAATTTGATTTCTTTCGCATGATTTAAAATTGTTAATCATATCTCAGCTGTGTTATAAGCATATAGTTATTTATCTGGAAATATATATATATATATATATATATATATATATATATATATATATATATATATATATGCTTAGATGGAATTAATTGATGTTTAAATCTACAGTTTATTGCATCAGTTATGGTATTGTTTGGAGGTGTTAAATGGGTAGTCTTACTTTGTAAATTTGAAAGACTGGAATATGATTTCTAAATCTTATATTGGATGCATAATTTGTCGTACACATGTTAGATTATATTTATGTTAATTCTGGAGTATGGTTGATAAGTATCTATTACTGTTTTGTCAACTGGAGGATTGTATGTACCGGTATGGGATCGTGACATACTAAGTATGGACTAGTTTAAACACTAAGTCCTATCTAATTTGGATTAAGGTACGAATTAACAGTATAGGTTAAGTCCATCACCTACTTATGTCATGTCGACAAAATAGTTGAATGACTTAATGTGGTTTCAGGACGGATGTTTATACATATATCATACCACTACACAGATGGATGGTATTTTGTATTAGGAGGAGTACGGACTTTATATATTTATTATATGGTGCTATGGTATGAGCTTGAGTCTCAAGACCATGGTTAGGGCATTATATCGCCTATGATGGTTAACTGGACATAGATGTTGTTCCCTGGTAGGTCTAGCTACACATGACCACATTATGTGCGATTTGTATGGTATCTCTACTTAGGCTGAGACAGACCTATTGGACTAGCGAGCGTCCTATAGTGTGTACTATATATACATGTGGACTACTCTAGATATTGTTGGGCTATCTAGGACGTATCTGTATATTGGATTACTGTATGGATTATAGTATAATAGGACTTACATATGGGCTTGACCCATTCTCTTATTTTTCAGGTGTTCATCAGTTTCAGGGTTAGAGCTTGGACGTACAGTGCAGATACAGACATTCATTCATTCGACTACGTAGGAATCCTTTCTATGTTTAGCTTTAGATTCTTTTTCTGATGTTTTAGTTTCTATTGGGATTTTTAATAAGGGGTCCACTGGATGGATTCCTGAGTTGTTAAACTTATGGAGTTTTGGAGTATCGGATTTTAATAATTATATTTTTGAGGATTTTAAATTAGCATTCCTTCAGTTTTTTATTTTTTATTTTTTATTTCATTTTGTATTCTGTGTTCGGTTACATATTGATTGTTTGATATTCCCTCGGGTTTGGGCATGGCCTGATTAACCCATGTCTCGGATCCGAGGGTATCACAGTTGGTATCAGAGCACTCTAAATTCAAGTGTCTCTAGGATTCTATCGTATAAGACTTCCGCGTAGCGTTTTCTCTTGATTAAAGCTTAAGTTTAAGATTCATTGTATTCTTTACGGTTCGGTTCAATCGTACTGATGTCTGTCTTTTTGTGTTGACAGAATGGTTAACGCAAGAACCAGACGGAACAATCGGCAATGAAGGGAAGCGGCCTGTAGGCAGCGTCAGGAGGATGAGGGTCAGTTCTATGAGGAGCCGGAGGAAGTTCAGCAGACTCGGGATCAGGAAGGAGATCCAGAGTATCCTCCTCACATAAACGACCTTATTGCTCGGGCTATAGAAGTATGTGTAATAGCTGCACTTCGGAATCAACCTCAGGTACAGTCGACACCGTTACCAGCATCGGTACCAACACCAGTTGTTCAGACTGATACTTGGGAGAAGGCCAGGAGTTCTTCAATAAAGGGGAGCCCACCTGAGTTCACAGGCTCCACCGATACAAGAGCAGCTCACTAGTGGAAACATGACATCGAGCGACATTTTCGCTTGGTTCAGTGCACGGAGGTTCAGAAGTAGATGTTTGCTACCTTCAAGATAGTTGGGGATGCACTGCAGTGGTGTGAGTCAGTTACCACCATAGAGGAGAGGATGGCATTGACTTATGATGAGTTCAGTGCACGCTTTGAAGAGAAGTACTTCCCTTATGCAGTCAGGGCAGCCATGAAGACTGAGTTTCTTAATCTGTAATAGGGGAACATGACAGTGGCAGAGTATGAGTAGCAGTTCACACGCTTATCTCTTTTTGCACCGAAGGAGGTGGATACAGAGGAGAAGAAGCACAACAGTTTTGTCAAGGGACTGATGTGGTCTATTAAATGAGCTATCACAGGGAGTCCAGTCTATACTACCTATGCTCAAGTGGTGGACACCGCTTTACAACAGTATCAGTTGACTATGGATTTCAGACAAGCTCGGGGTGAGAAGCGAGGTGATAGAAACTCTGCTAATCAGTTAGTTGAGAAAGGGGACAGCAATGGACACCGACAGAATGATAAGGGCAAGTTCCAGGGACAGTAGCCTTGGAAGAAGCATAAGAGTGGTTTAGATGCTCAAATGGGACACCTATTTAGAGGCAGCAGAATAGGGGACCACAGGCAAAACAGGGTCAGCCACCGGCTAACCAACAGAGGAGGCCATTTGGAACTTTTCAGGGTAGTTGCTACACTTGTGGGGAGTATGGTTATACCTCGAGGCAGTGTCCTAAAGTAGGATAAGGACAGGGACAGCATGTGCAGTAGGGGCAAAGGGCGCCAATGCCTTTACCAGCTCCACAGGTTCCACGGATTCAGGGACAGACACATCTGCCTTTACCGGCACCGCCGCAGACTCAGGAACAGGCACCACTGTAGTTGCACTATGGCAGGGTGTACAACCCCATGCTATAGGATGTTCAGGCACCTCAGGCTGTTGAGGGTAAGTTTCCTATTTATGGTTTGCATGGATGTGTTTTATTTAATACGGGTGCTATACACTCATTTGTAGCTAGGACTTTTGTTACTTTATCTGGGATGAGGACGAGGGTATGCACTAGACCTCAGGGTATTTCTACACCATTGGGCGACACAGACATTCTACATGAGAGTGATGGGCCTGTGACACTAGATATCGGTAGACTCAGATTTCTAGCCAATCTATTGGTCCTGGACATGCACACTTATGACGTGATACTCGGGATGGATTGGTTATCTCACTACCATACCCAAGTTAATTGTTTTGATAGGTCTATTGTATTTACCATACCTGGGCAGGATATGTACGTTGTAACTATGCCTCGTTCTAAGGGGGGCGGTAGCACTTATTTGTTTTA